ATAGCGCCCGGCGCTGTAGACTACAGCTATGGCGCCCAGCGCCGAAGACTACCTAGCGCTAAACTGCCCTGGAGCAGCGCTCCTCCGAGTGCTTGATCCGCTATCCTGAAGACTACCCTGACTACTGTCTGACTACCTGCCCGTGAAGTGCCTGGGAAGATCCTATGTACTACCACGAGTGCCTCCTGACTGCAGGCGAGCAGTCCAGGAGGCTGCTCTTGCCAATGCCGATCGGAGGCAGGGGCTGCCGCTCCAGCTCCTGCTCAAGGTCGTGGGAACAGGCTATTTCTGGCCTGTTCCTGAAACCCTGTTTCCGTGCCTGAGTCTTAGGGGCGGTTGAAACAATGAGGGCCTGAAAATGGCCCTCTGTTTCAGGCTTGAAAAACTCTGGGTCTGAAAGACCCATAAATAGGCTGAAACGGAGTAGGGCCTGCAGGCCCTCGTTTTTCAGCTTTCAAGCTGAAACGACCGGGGCCTGTAAGCCCTACGTTTTAGGCTTTTAGGCTGAATGTCCGGGACGGGCCCTGCAGGGCCCGTGTGGCTACGCAATATGCCACACCCCCCCCCTCCTTGAAGAACCGAGCTTACCTGCGAGGGCGAAGCTCTCTGTCTGAGGGAGGGACCGCAGTCCGGGTGGGAGGGGCTGGTCGTGAAGCTTCCTGAGCTAACCTCCGCTTTTCATAATGCGCGTAGATCAGCGGTGCGGATGCTTTCAAATCTGCGTCTGAAATCCACCGAGTGTCGTCGCGATCGCATGCTTTGAATGTGACTTTGTACTGCCGCGGCTTGCTGCCGTACTTGCGATCGGWGATGACGCGGTCAACTTCCTGATGACCATCCATAGAAGGAGGGTCCTGCGATTGTCCGCCCGGAAAGTCGTCGCTCTTGGCTGGCGTGTATGTTGCCAGCTTCGAGGCGTGGAAGGCCGGATGGACCGTCAGATGCTCTRGAATGTTGATCACAAATGAAGGGCCATCAGGCTCATCGCCCGCGGCTGCTGTCACAGACCAAGGTCCAAACCACTTGGGAAGCAGTTTGCGTGAAACATCCTGTTCCAGTGCAAACTCTTCCGCGGAGACCCAAACCAGATCACCGGCGCGGATGGGACATGGTACGCGACACCTGTTGGCTTGCTGCTGCATGGGGACTTGAGCCTTTTGCATGTTTGCGCGGGCTTGAGTCAACAATTCCCTATACTTCCGGATGGAAGCGGGAGAGCAGGCAGCGTCAATGTCGGCTGGTCGAGGGAGGAGAAGGTCDRYRAAGATCCGGCCTTTCCGTCCACCGTGGTGCAACTCGAATGGAGTCACGCCGATCGCCGGATGCACCGAAGTGTTGTAGGCGAACTCGATGTCGGGGAGGCGGTCAACCCAATCTTTCTGGTCCGGACGGATGAGCGTACGAAGCATCATTTGAGCGGTTTGATGTGCCCGCTCTGTTTGCCCGTCCGTCTGTGGATGCCGAGCCGAACTTGGTTTCATCTTCGTGTCGGACTCCTGCATGAGAGCAGTCCAAAATGCCGACATGAAACGAGTGTCGCAGTCGCTGACTATGTCTTCTGGTACACCGTGGCCACAAATCCAACCAGTGTGCAGGAGGCGTGCCAACTCGGGAGCCGTGGAGTTGTACTTGCAAGGAAGAAAACGCGCGTACTTACTCAATCGGTCCACCACTGTGAGGATGCCGTCGTGCCCGAGCCGGTCGCGGGGAAACGGACCGGTGACGTCCATGGCAATGGAGAGATCAGGTTCCCGTGGGATAGGCATCGGGCGTAACTCGGCGTAGAGATTGCGGTTGCGGGGCATGCTGCGTCGACAAACTTCGCAAGAGTCGCAATACTGCGTGACATCTGTAATGAGATCGGGCCATCGGAATCGCTGTCGAAGCTGTGCAATAGTGCGGTTGACTCCGAAATGGCCGGCGAGTCGTGAATCATGATACTCGCCGAGGAGGCGAGTCCGAAGAAGTCGGTCGCGTGGGACACATAGTAAGTCCTTGCCTCTCGAGTGGAGGAGCAAGTACTCGTCGACAATGCGATAGTGGCTGGCCGGCGGGTGATCCGAAGATATCTGTGCATACAGCGTGGCGAAGTCCGGATCAGACTCATATGCCCGGATGAAATGTCGCTGAAGCTCCTCGTCGAATGCGAAGGCATGATGTGTCATAGCGCAAAGATCAGGTCTTCGCGAGAGTGCATCTGCTGCGCGATTTGAGAGGCCGGGAAGATGTTTCGGTGTGAAGTCAAACTGGTCGATGAAGTACATCCATCGTCCGATCATGCTGCTCACCGTATCCTGCGTCTTGTAGTAGGTCAATGGATTGTTGTCCGTAACCCATGTGAACCTACGACGCCCAAGGAGGAAGTGTCGCCATCGCTTGAGAGCCATGACAAACGCGAGTAACTCCTTCTTCCTTGCATCATCAAGCGAGTGGAAGAGAGGCACTTTGTGGCTGAAGTACTCCACAGGGTGCCAGTCGTCGTCATCATGCTGTTCCAAGACTGCCCCAATGCCATAGTCGGAAGCGTCCGTAGTCACTCTCGTCGGCAGGGTGGGGTCATAGATGCTAAGAACGGGTGCCATGAGCATAGCCGTCTTAAGTGCTTGAAATGATCGGCGTGTGTTGTCATCGAATACGAATGGCACCTTTGGCGGCTGTTACCTCGTCATAGGTGCAGCAATCCTGGAAAATCCGGTGATGAATCGCTGATAATAGCCCGCCAACCCCATGAATGAGCGAACGTCTGTGGTGTTGGTGGGCTCGGGCCACACTCGTAGGGCCTCGATCTTGTCCGCGAGCGGACGGATGCCTTTCGGCGTCACATAATGGCCCAAGTACTCCAGCTCTTGCTGTGCGAACTCACACTTGTCGCGGTTTGCTTTGTACTTGGCCTGTCGTAGCTGCTCCAAAACGGTGCGCAGGTGTTCCACATGCTCTTCCAAACTCTGACTGTACACCAAGATGTCGTCGAGGTAGATGAGTACAAACCGATCCAGCATGTGTCGGAACTCCGTTGTCATAGCCGCTTGGAAAGTGAGCAAATCCCGTTGTAGCCACAGGACCTGTTGTAGAACTCACGGCGTAGGTGCGTGAATGGCAAGTCCTGATTGGGCACTGCCACAATCTTCTGCCACTCCGTGAGCCAGTCCCGTGTTGCTGTGTTGCCCTGTGACATGGTGAACAGGCGGTTGATGGTGAGTGCCGGCGCGTCGTCGACGATGAACCGCTTCTTCCACAACCGTGTCAGTTCCTCCCATGTGATCTTGTCCTTCAAGTCTGGTACGTCGACGCCGTGGGAGGTTGCCAGGTGGGTCAACCAGGTCTGGCATCCGCCCTCTGAGTTCAAGAACAGGGCGCCGATGTACGCATGCTTAGCGACAGGCAGAATCCTGAGTTGCGTCGTGAATGCTTCCCACCAGAGGACCGGATCCTGCTGCGTGTAGTCGTTGAACTTTTCCAGTTGGAAAGTTGACATCTTGTACATCTTAGGATTGTCATTTGTGTTCGTCGACTGCAACTGCTGGACCTCGGTCTTCAAGGTATGCAGCTGACTGCTGATGGTGGTCGGCGCAGCGAAGGTGCTGATGTCGCCGAGCATTGCCACTACGTGGTCAACGCGTTCCTCCAGTTGGCGGCTAGAGGGTGCACTGCTGGAAGCCCCAACATCTGGTCTTGGTGGATGTTCGAAGTCCTGTACACGGGCGTCCAGTGCCCCTGTGGCATCCTCGTGCTGCGTCTTATGGTTCCGCATGGCCCCCTGGAGGTTTGCCGGCTCGGACTGTAGGTGGTTACACGTGTAGACCAGCCTGGTCACGAGCTTGGCCATGAACTCCTTATGCTGCTCCTCTGGTGTCGCATCGTCACCGTTGGGTTCAAAGTGCCAGAACTTGAGTCTCTCAATGCTGGCTGCTTCATGCCGCTGCAGCAGCTCCTGGGCTTCCTTGCGGCGAGCCTGGGTAGCTGCATTTGCCTCGGCCTGAAGCCGCTGCTTCTCAGCTGCTGCCGCTTCTTCAGCCTGTAGCTGGGCAGCCTTGGCTGCCAGCTGGCGTTGTTCCTCAGCCTCGATGAGAGCGAGCTGAGCCTGGAAACGCTGTTTGTAGTCGGCAATGGACTCGTTGGCCAGTTGGCCTGGCAGGCCCGTCATGTTGCTGCCGTGGCACTGCTTACGTGGCACAGTGTCTGCCGTGGCACTGCTTATGTGGCACTGTCTGATGTGGCACTGCTGACGTGGCACTGTCTGACGTGGCACTGTCTGATGTGGCACTGCTGACATGGCACTGTCTGTCATGACACTGCTGACGTGGCACTGTGTCTGACGTGGCACTGCTGATGTGACACTGCTGATGTGGCACTGCTTACGTGGCACTGCTGACGTGGCACTGCTGACGTGGCACTGTGTCTGACGTGGCACTGCTGATGTGGCACTGCTGATGTGGCACTGTGTCTGATGTGGCACTGCTGACGTGGCACTGTACCAACTGAGAATGCAAGCAAAGGGGTGGGTGGGGGAAAAACGTAGGTAGGAAAACAACCCAACAATACTTGCCCCCGGCCCTAATCAACAGATAAAAATAAAAAAAATAAGAGAGGACTACTTCCTTTTTTTTTTTTTTTTTWTTGTATAYCTGTCGATCTATTATGAGTAGGACATGTCAGAAGAGTATTATGAACGAGATCTAGGCTAGGTTCCGCAAAGTTTCGGCTTTTACAAACTGCAATCTTGAAAAAAAATTTTTTTTGCGAAATGGAGTAAAGAATCTAAAGATGCGATTTTCAGAAAAGAACGAAATCCAGTTTCTGAGAATATGGCAACCTCCGACTATGCCTAACGCAATATTGGTAGGCTTCGCAAGATTTCGGTTTTCAAAAAAAAAATTGCGAGATAGAAAGGAAATTCGATTTTCAGAAAAGAATAATTCCAGTTTCCGAGAATATGACCACTTTTATCGTTATCCCAATATGCCTAGAGAACGAAATACTAACTTCAGAAATTTCAGCTATGTATGCGAAATATCAGAGAGACGAAAAGCTACTATCGGGAATTTTCAGACAACAAAATGCGATTTATCAGAAATTTCAGATATTTGTTACGTAAAAACGAACTACTAATATCAGAAATTTTCAGGTAAAACGAAATGCGAATATCAGAAATTTTCAGATAGTTGTTGCGATAATTTTTTTTTTTCAGATATTTGACGAAGTCCTACTTGATTTACTAATGAGATCAATAGATCAAGCAAGCTTGCTACTTGATTGAGCGGGTCCTCTGAATGAGAGGTCCGCTCCAATACCAAACTGTTGCATACTGTAACGTGCAGACCAGAACAAGAACCGACCTCTCAATGCAAAGTACAAGATGGCGCAAATGGAAGACTTCGATACCAATGATCCGATCAATCAATGTTGCAATGCAGCCCAGAACATACATCATCATCATCATCCCAGAGTGTGGAAGGGGTCTGGCGCTTCACACAGGAAGACTGCACCAGCCCCACACATACACAGACGAAGATGAGGGGGGTTAGACGAAGAGGAGGGAAAGATGGGAATGTCGTCAACACCAAGTCTTCGGCACAGGCCCAAATAGTCCCTCGTCAAAATGTCTGAATCCCAAATGTCGAGTCTGTATCCAATGTCGTCAAGTCTCAGGTCGATCTCTCTCTCGTAGTCCACAGATACTGAGAAGTAGGCAGCGAGAGGGGAAGAAGAGATGGTGGACTTAGAAGAGGAAGAAGAAGAACTCTCTCTCTCTCTCAGTCCAGTACTAACCTGTAAAGCTGGCGCCTTGATCCAGGTATCACGAAGATGGAGCTGGAGCGATGGCGCCACAGGTAAGTACCACTGGCCTCCGCCAGTGTCTCTCTCCCATATCACTACTACTACTATAGCGCCCGGCGCTGTAGACTACAGCTATGGCGCCCAGCGCCGAAGACTACCTAGCGCTAAACTGCCCTGGAGCAGCGCTCCTCCGAGTGCTTGCTCCGCTATCCTGAAGACTACCTTGACTACTGTCTGACTACCTGCCCGTGAAGTGCCTGGGAAACTCCTATGTACTACCACGGGTGCCTCCTGACTGCAGGCGAGCAGTCCAGGAGGCTGCTCTTGCCAATGCCGATCGGAGGCAGGGGCTGCCGCTGCAGCTCCTGCTCAAGGTCGTGGGAACAGGCTATTTCTGGCYTGTTCCTGARACCCTGTTTCCGTGCCTGAGTCTTAGGGGCGGTTGAAACAATGAGGGCCTGAAAATGGCCCTCCGTTTCAGGCTTGAAGAACTCTGGGTCTGAAAGACCCAGAAATAGGCTGAAACGGAGTAGGGCGTGCAGGCCCTCGTTTTTCAGCTTTCAGGCTGAAACGACCGGGGCCTGTAAGCCCTAAGTTTTAGGCTTTTAGGCTGAATGTCTGGGATGGGCCCTGYAGGGCCCGTGTGGCTACGCAGTATGCCACAGAGAGAGAGAGTTGACATTGAGACTTGGTGACATTCGGGCATTGCCCAGTTCAGTGACATTATGACTTGACATTGTAGGAGCAGCGACATTGGGGATACATTGGAGACTGGGTTCGTCGGGCTATGGTGACTGATCCTCCCTCTCTCCTTCTTTCCCTCCGTCTCCCCTCCCTCTTTCTAAGTGATGGCGTATGCTGTCAAGTCCTGTCATTGTCCATGCTGAGTCAGATTTTGGTATTACGGTCTTCCGCTGTGCTATTTTTGTACTGCCTCTGAGAGGTCGGTTCTCGGTTCTGATGGATGCCGATTAGGCATGCGGCAATGTCACAGACCGGCCTCAGGTAAATTCTGAGTTATTTTACTCCTCGGAGTCCAGCGGGATTGGAACTCAGGTGTGTATTTCAACAGTCCATGGGTGTACCAAGTGAGCCAAGCCCGTTGGTGACCGGCGTATGGGCATGTACGATTTTCCTTGTCCCGGGGGTCCTGTCAAAAGCATAACACTGGGTAACGCTCCCAGACCCGGTCTTTATGTGGGGAGGCCGCCCCTTCTTCCTCTGACTTGATAATAAATGGAACCTGTTCTTTGGAAAAAAAAAAAGAAAAAAAACTCGTCGTACGCCTGGTCGATTTCGATATAAGAGGAGAAGCCCCAAATGAAACGGCCTGTTTGATTTCGACATAAGAGGAAAAGCCCCAAACGAAATGGCCTGTGCGATTTCAATATTCTAAGAGAAAAAGCCCCAAACGAAATCGCATGTTGACAGACTGTCGCCAAAGAAGTTCCCGACACTCGGCACACTTCGTACCTTACCTGTGCCGTTCTACAAACAGGATATTCATTATTGGCCGTAGCCCTCGACTCCAACACCCCACGCACGGATTCCCCCCTGGGACAGCGTCTGCCGCCCTCCAGTTCCGGGTCTACGATGGGCCCTTCAGGCAGAGGGACTGCTCCTTCCTTGAGTAGTAGTATACATAGATATTAGATATAGATATAAATAGTATGCTGCTGAGCGTTGTCCAGACTCGGTTCTGCACTTACCTTCTGATCATGGTGATGGTGCTTGTGGTTGCTGAACTTGTGTCCTTTTTTTTTTAATAATCTGTTCTGTAGGTTGGACACTTTACTGTATCAACTTGTGCCCATTTTATTTTATTGCAAGTTGTCTGACAAACCTCAACTGTGCACAGATGGTGAATGTGAAAAAGGCAAGCACAAGGGTTATAACGATGTAACACTTGATATACTACTTGTGTGAATCAGTACTTGGCGGAGTTTGAAACTTCAAAGGATTCCAGCCAGGCGCCGCTGGTGCTCTCTCTTTCTGCTTAGCTAGCACAAATCGGGCCATAATAGTGGTCAGTTTCATGCCAGCATAGCACAAAAATAGCACCAGTGGACCCTGACCTTTTGTCACTCAACCCTAGTAACCAATGACAGCCGCTGCGGAATTGTTTGCCAGACTTCCAGTTAAGTCAACTGACAGCAAGATAGAAGAACTTTCAAGCTTTATGACTCAAACTAACACATTTCTTGTGTGGCTTATTGTCTGTATTCGTCTATTGCTTTCCACTCGGCGATTTCACGAAGCTTTCAATGGACCTTGAGGGAAATGAAATTGTTGGCAACGATCGTGATGAGCTGCATGCATATATTCTAGATCCAAATGGACTCGAAGCTGCGACGTGGACGGTCCACATCATAGACACCTTCTTGTTACCCAGTAACGTATTTATGCTCCTATCATCACGCTGCCCGGGCACACCAACCACCGATGCGGAACTCCTAAGGAATACGAACAACCCTCATGCTTTTCGTCATCGTGATGCTTATCCGCCTTCTGGTAGTGCACCTGCGCCAATCTTGGGTGCATGATCATCGACTGCAGTCCATGCTCAGGGAGTCAACAGAAGATTGGCGATGTTGGATGGCTGTCGATCACTGGAATCAGGATGTGGATGCTGTCAGCTGGAAGGGCAATGCATAGTGGACTCTCATTCTCATGTGCAGAAAGCCTATAATTGTGGTGTACGAGAACCAGGAAAGTGAGCGCCCTCTGTGGTGAATTTAGCGCCAATTTCTGCCAAAGGCTAGTGATGGATGGATTGCTTGCCAAGAACCCTTCATCCAGGTGCACTGGCGGGAGAGTATCTCAGAGCAGAGCAGATGGAATACCCTACATCGCCAATGGCCTCATCGAGACATAGCTGTCATGTGCAGGAACGGCACCTGAGGAAGTGCTGCCTTAGAGCTGATAAGGTATAAGCTGCAGCCGCAAAATGACAGGTAGAAATGTACAATCACAAACTCGCAAGGCGGAACAACATCTTATAAGTTGTAACAGTTTGTTCTCGTCAGTTAGATCTGCTAGTGTCTTGCAGTAGTTCAAGCCTTCTGCTGCATCTGTGCCCTTGGCTACGCGGCTGCATGACATTGTTTGTTTGTCTGCCTTCTCTGTGAAGTGTGTGTACCTGCCTCTCCTGCTTGTCTTCCTGCCTTCTGCATTCAACCCCTGCTTTTCCCTCCCTGCCTTGTATGCCTCCCTAGGGCCTGTCTGCCCACCTGCATCATGCTTAGGGCCTATCTGCCCACCTGCATCATGCTTTTCTTTCTTCTCTGTCTGCTTTTCGTCGTGGTCTGTCAGTCTCATCATCCTGTGTGCCTGCCTATTTATCCTGCCTGCCACTCTGGGACGCAATGAGCTGACATGTTCGGCAGCGGAATGCTTGCGCTGTGAAAGGAGCAAGCTTTGTTCAAATTCAACGTCTAGCGCATCATGGACTCGCAACGAGCTGACATGTTCCCGCAGCGGAATGCTTGTGCTGTGAAAGGAGCAAGCTTTGTTCAAATTCAACGTCTAGCGCATCATGGACACGCAACGAGCTGACATGTTCCCGCAGCGG